TGTTAAGAATTAAGAAGACAGTGGATGACTGCGCGGCCACGAATACTGCTCAAATATCATGGAATAGATTGCCTTTATTTTTTCGACAAGCAGGCACCGTTATTACTTTAAAGACATTATTGAACACCAAAAGGTTATGAACAGGTTATAATCTCTTAGAACGACTTACCTTTATTCTGAGATATATGATTAGTTTAGTACATTGTTTCATCTATTACTGATGTATAATAGATTTTATTTATCTATTTCATGTTTATTATTACAGTACTGATCACAAGGCTTAATAAATTGGCACGTACGTATTTTGAACGGGCTCTATGAGCTCCTTGACGCTACGTGGGTAAATAAAGTATTGATTGATTGATTGATTGATTGATGAACTTTACATTTTAATGCATTTATTATTACCTGTAATTACTTTCTCCTACTAGATTTAATATTTTTGAGGAATTGTTCCGCGCATATGATTATATTAAGAAATATGCGCTATACAAATAATAAAAATCCTGATTATAATCTTAATAGGAGACCGTGACTTTCTACTCATTGACCAAGCTTTAAAACCCGGACCTTGGAGACCCTTTCTTCTGAGCTGTTTGCGCTCGAAAGTGACCTTTTTACCTTTAAACACCTCCATATTAAAAGATAAAGCACATGTATTTCGATGGAAACACTTGTCACTTCCAGTCCAAATTCCCCACCCCAGCAAAGGAAGGTTCCACTTTCCCATCCCGAGCACAGTCGACAGTTAATTGCTGCTGGTTTGCCTGGGAAGGGGAGGTGGGGGGGAGAGTTGAGTTACTATGATCGGCGTATAATGCGATTATGACTGTCACATTCTATCTGGTAAAACGTATAAAAGAGTGTTTAGTGGACGCTGCACGCCTTCCCCTCCGATCAAACTTTTGTGACCGAGACGACACACATTGCTTTACGTGACAGAGACGCTGCCTGCTGCATGAACCTGGATGAGCGTGACGATTTGAGATCAGTTTTGTTAATTTCACTTCTAGTTACGAACCAAACTCAGCAAAAAGTTCGTGTAGCTCGGATTTCCGCTGCGATGAGCCGCTAGTAAAACCTGCCCCCTGCCATCCTTTTTGCCAGAGCTAATTGGCGTGAACGAAAGGGACCATTCACAATCAACCCCCTCCTCAACGGTTTCAAAACACGTGAGCTTTGATTTGATGAATAGAATCAATGAAAAAGTCTTGAATACTTACTTTTAAAACAGTTTACAGCCGGTGAAGGAGTCAAAACTTTTTATAGTTCTCTTACATCCAATGGGAACTCAAAGTACAAACAAGCATACTGCCAGAAGCGCGGGATAATGCGAGTGACTAAGTCGCGGTTGGTTATTTAGTTTTGAATCTGATTGGTTTAAAAGGTGGCGCGAGTTTTCTGAAATATTTACACAGTATAGTAGAAAACCAAAGAAATGTCGGATTACTTACATCTCACTATTAAAAGTTGCTCTACAGATGAACAACTCTCTTCAAATACGCACTGTTATTTCTGAACGCTCTCGCTCTGTAATGATAAAAAAGAAAACCCAGACTGCTAGAGCAAGCACTGCATGAAGTTCACGGGAATCCCAAGTAGAAACCTCAAGCAAAACCCAGCATGGTTACACCAAGAGAAAAAAATAGAAATGAGATCATGAGAACTAAGTTGTGAGGCAGACATACAAACAAATTAAGAGACAATTTCCATTTATTGGCTTTCCCGAAGCTGATAAGTTTATCACAAAGATTGACTCGTCGTCAACATAGCATTGCTCAGATTCTATCACTAAACAACTATAACTAGATTTCTTAACGAATCAGCTCTTACACTATCAGTGTCTCCTTTTTCAGTGTTTTGAGATTAATTCATGAATCACAGAAACATAAAATGATTATTTACCTATTTGCGCACGGATGGGTCTCACATTTGGAAGCAAAAAACCGAAAACCAAATTCTTATTATGGTACACCAAAACTAGAGTCTACGCTACGCTATCATGTGATGCTTGTATGATCATAGTCTCAGTTGGTCAGTAGTGTGTCTCAGAGTACTCTGTATGTACGTGTAACCATCTTCTTTCCCTAGTTTCGAAATTGAAATCTTTTCATTTAGTTCTGTTTTGGGCCAACATAATAACAGTGAGAGAAATTTTACGGGCAGGTAACGCTCATTAATTCCTAATCCACTTTAGGCCACCCGAAGCAAAGTCTAGCTGCGATTCCAATCGGCCGCCCAAAACCTTGAAGAAGTCTATTCCTGGCATAGTAATCACATTCCTTAACAAGCCAAGAAACATCAAAGTCTTATTGCACTGAAGAAGCTCTCCAAATTCATTAGCTCCGTCATCACCGATAGGGTTTGTTCTCAGCTGCAAATGCGTCAGGGTTTGATTTGTTTTCAGTGCCTGTGCAAGAGCTACTGCGCCTCGATTTTCAATGTGGTTTTGACTCAAATCTAAACGTTCAAGAGTGCCATTAACCCTGAGACCCTCTGCTAACGTTATTACACATGATGAGACGATTGAGGTAGATCGTAGATCTAAACGGGTCAGCTGAGTGTCATGTGACTGAAGAGCCTTTGAAAACGCTGCTGCTGATGAATCACCAAAGCGAGATGCGGGAAAAGAGTCCGCCTTCCCCAGGCATAAGTGAGTCAGAGAACATTTTGACTGAAGAGCCTTTCCAAGTTCTGTTAGTAATGAGTCATTAAAACCATGTCCATGAATATCTAGGTAAGTCAGCGAACTATTATACAGGAGAGCGTGTAGTATACTTCTCATCCCGCAACCACCAATACGCACATGTAAACTGTCACCACTCACATTTAAGCACCTTAAAGTTCGGTTAGACTCCAAAACTTGTGAAAGTGATACGGCTCCCCCATCACCAATGTCATTCTGTCCGATATTCAAGTCCTCCAACACTCTATTGAACTTTAACGCTTCTGCTAATGCTTCAACTCCGATGAGTGTTAACTTATTATCAGCTACGCACAAATGAGTCAAAGTGTGATTTGACTGGAGAAGTATTCCGAGTGCTTTGGCACCCTTATCACCAATGTTGTTTTTTCCGATATTCAAGTGCTTCAATACTTTATTGGACTTCAAAGCTTCTGCTAAGTTTTCAACTCCGATAGGTGTTATCTCACTATCAGCTGCGCACAAATAAGTCAAAGTGTGATTTGACTGGAGAAGTATTCCAAGTGCTTTGGCTCCCTTATCACCAATCCCATTCTTCCCGATATTAAAGTGTTCCAATACTTTATTGGACTTCATACCTTCTGCTAAAGCTTCAATTCCGTTAGGTGTTATCTCATTATCAGCTACGCACAAATGGGTCAAAGTGTCATTTGACTGGAGAACTTTTCCGAGTTCTTTGGCTCCCACATCCCTTAGTCTGGCTTTACGCACATTTAAATGCGTTAGCGTGTGATTCTCCTGAAGAGCGGGAGTTAGTGATATGATGTACGAGTAGTCCGTCAAATATAAGTGCGACATAGTGTGACTTGTTTTTAGGACATCAGCAAGTGCTGCTACTACTGATTCGTCTAATTTTGCATTTGATACGTCGTTTTGCCAAGCTAATGTCTTCAGTTTGCAGTTGGCCTTTAGATATTCAGAGAAAACGAATGGAAATCGACAGTCAAAGGTAATGCCCGAACCACTATGATTCACTGTTATTCTATTCCTGGGAAAACAGCGTGCTAGCGTACCGGCCATCTTGATTTGGTAAGGTTTAAGTTCACTTTTAGGTTGTTCACATTGAATAATAGCATCAACTATTTTCAATAAGAACGAAAACTGCTCGTCAACTGGAAAGCGTACCATTGTCGGTTGCTCTAACTCCCAATCATAGTTAGTATCTTCAAAAACAAATACGTAACGTAAATATTTAGTATCGCTAGAGAATTGGTCAGGTTTTTCATGCTGAAAGGAATCGCATATACTCGAAACCAATAAGGCAGCTGTATCATCACTTTTACTTGCTGCCATTGTGATGAGAAACTTCCACACCTGCCAGTACCTATAAATAGGGCTAAGTTGTTTCAGCAGGGCGGTCTTGTCCCCGTCAGCAGTTAGCAACTCATGCGCCATGTGGAATGCGGCGAAATACTCCTGAAAAGTCTTGTGGATAAAAGCGTAAGTCGGTTTCGCTTTGTCTCTGCTCTTACTGGCCTGCCGAGAAAGAAATCCAAGATCAAGAAATTCGGTTGACTGATTTTTCAGCTCCTCTAAAGTGAAACCTAATTGATCTTGTAGAAGAGCTTTAAGGGCCAGCTTTCCTAACTGATTTAGCTGGTCAGCGTACTCCTCTACGAGATTCTTGTCGTCCAAAGAGATTCTTTTCATTGATCTATTTATACGATAACTTCTAAGAACACAATTAACAATTTCAATATACAACATGGTTCTGTTGTAAGGTAATACTCCATTTGTACCTTCAAAAACAAGACACAGAAGAGCTGTGTTCAGTGCATAGGCAGTCAATTCCCTGAGCTGTGAGTCCTTGTTTATTTCCTTGATCAATGCCTCAGCAAGACTTGGATTCTCGTGCTTTCTGAAGTACTTCTTGATGTAACTGTCGGCATCGTCTTTGGTGTAGCCTACAATCTCAAACAGCGCGTCACAGTGTGGTCGAACTTTCATCCCTACCTCGTGTCGAGCAGTTAACATAACAAAGGTAAAAGGAAATGCTTTTCCTTTAATCAAAGGCAAATATTTTTCAAACAAATCATTTCGTAATTCATCCAAGCCGTCCAGCACCAACAAAATTCTAGATTGATTTCGGCGAATAAATTGGAAAAAAATTTCCTTGTCTTTCTTGTTTACATCAATTGGTAGTAGCTGAGCTTCGATAGCGGCCTCGATGTTGTCAGTCTCTATGTCACGACAAGTCAGCCGAAGAAGTAAGTCCAGTTTAGGAAAAGAAGATTCAGTTGTAATGTTCCCCACTGACCAATCATATGCAAGCTTCTGACAGTAGGTGGTTTTTCCCATCCCAGGTAGCCCCTCGATCAACGCCACTCTTGGTTTTTCATTTTCACATTCACATTTCCGTTTGCAGTCACATTTCTTAATTGGTCTATAGACCTCAGTCATTTGGACGATGTCATTTGTTAACTTCGTTCGTTCTATCTCCCGGCTAACCATCGTCAGTCTTGTAAAGATCTTGGACAGTTCGAATTGCAATTCATCTTCACACCAAGGGAAGGGACACAGTACAGTGCCTTTGTACTCTCGTCTGATCAGCTTCTCAAGTTGCTCCGGGTAATCTAAAAGGTTCAATTTAAGATTGTCATGTTAATCTTATTATTATACATTGTAGTCACCCTCTGTCTTCTCATTGGCTAAACGCCTACAGTTAATTCTGGGAAATAACGCAACCTACAGATTAGTGAATAATCTGTAGGTTGCGCGCGCAATGCATGATTTCCGGTGGAGCAATGTCAAGTTCTCAGACAGCGAAGGAAGAATGGCTTCTCGATTCGCTTCATCGACCAAGCGAGAAATTGAGAAATTACTTGAAGATAAAGATTCGGAAAATACTAAAAGAATATACAATAAAACAATTATTGGATTCGGTTTTTGTGATATGCGGAATAATCAAGGTCTCGGTTAGTGTTATCAGCCGAAGCCGAAGGCTGAGGCTGATAACACTTAGCTCGACCTTGATTATTCCGCATATCACAAAAAACCGAATCCAATAATTGTTTATAATCGTAGCGCGCGCAGCGTAGCTCCATAATTAAACAAAATAGTAGTAGTAACCCATCCAGCCGAAAAAAGTTGGTCTTATGACCGTACGGGTGTCCGTACAAGGTGCTACTTTCAGCATGCGCGGTCAACTGTACCGCGGGCACGCCAACGCCGCCGCTTTAGTCTTGTCCAGCGAGCGTTTGAGCACATCGCGCGCGCTACACTTGTACATAGCTGAGGTGACTGGGTTCGAGATGAATATATATTAACACTAACTTTATCCATAGTAGGAGCTTTAGTTTTGTTGACGAGACGTGCGGGAAAAAAAATGCGAGCTCCGCTTTAAGGCTTAGCTAAATCTATATATTACTTGTAATAATAAACTAACCAGGTAACACCCTTATGGGATTAATTATCTACATAACAGAAATTTGTCTAGTCAGTAAGGAGCCACGAATAGGAACCCGCTTACGCAAACGATAGAGCAGGGGAATGAGTCATTTCACAGAAGACACACAAATTCTCCCGTGACTCTCTGGCCCTCTTCCCCCTCCCCACTCCGTATTAAGCCCTTTCCAGGCTCTCAGTCATTGGAGACGAACGAAAAAGCAGCAACCCGAAACAGCACGAAGACAAATGCAAAGAAGTTTTTCCCTGTTTCCTGTAGCATGCTTTGAAACAATTCTCGTTCGATGCACTTTATTCTTCCTCTCCATCACCTGTCAGCCCCCCCTTGGTTCCTGAAAAATATCTACCTACAAATAATGGTCTGCTCTTAGTAGTAATCCTAACTCAGTCTTGGTCCATGCAAAATGATGAATGTTTCTCTAGGCTATCAGAGAGTGAATTCCACGGATATGGGGAAGAAAAATAAAACTCAGTAATCGACTGACCAAGCTATTACTGCACTTTGTTGATATGATATCAACAAAGTGCAAGTTGAGGTTGAGCAAGTGAGGTTGAGCAAGATAGCTTGAGGTGAAAAAAAAAATTACCCCAAGATCCAATTAGTAATTCTCCCCACTTAATGCCATACTTGTCCTTCTGAATTAGACTGGAGAATTTGGTCTCATTCCAAAGTAACGCCTTCAAGCTGATAAGCTTGTTTGTTCTTATAAACTGTTTACAAGACAATTTATTAGAATTGCTAGGAGAAGTTCCGAGTTAATCCCTTCGGGGAGATGATTTACGTTAGCCTTCGGTTTCGGGTAACAATTTATATCTCAGACACTGAAAATCAAGACGTTGATATGATATCATTAAACCCTTTGATCGGCGCAGTTATCTCCTAAGAAAAAAACCAATTAGTATTCGAATACATAACTAATGTCGCTATGGAGGGCCCCTGTACAAGTCAATAAGGACTGTGGGGCTATCTCAATGCAAAGTCACTACACTTGTCCTACATATTTTTTTTATATGTGTAAGCATTCCATAATTTTTTCTGAGGTGTCTAACTCATAAATAATTGGTAAACACATGATTTCTTGCGTAGATGATAATTAGGTATAACTGAGCATAGTGACAGGTAATTTTATTCAGATTAACAGACAATGCTCTTGCCCAGCAATTTGTGGTCTGAATAATTTGTAAGTGGTTATTATTACCAAATTACACAATCAAGAATTCATGTAATCACTCATAAATAATATACACGGAAAAAAGAAAAAAGCAAGACAAGAAATCAAAATATTAAGTAAAATTCTCACGGCCCATTATTTCATTTGATATGAATGTTTTATTTTTTTTAACAAGACCATAATACATGCCACTGATATAGTTGAAGCACGCTCATACAGTTTAGTTAAGAACATGTCAATGGGTTAAATCTGATGAGTTAATTTCTGCACGATTTTCTTCAACAATTGTAGTACTATAAAGCTTTATAAACCTATTCACTCACAGGATCTAAATATCAGTTTTCTTCATTTTAAGAAAGTGTAGCTCTATGAACCTGGTATTGAATAAAAAATATCCATTTGTTGATATTTTTTCTTGTCCCATCACATTAAGCTTGAAAATGAATGACATTGTACAGAGAAACACGTACACATCTTTGGCCATAAACAGAAATGAAAAGGTGAAAGAAGTTGAGATGAATGTCCCTTATTTGTGTTTGGTTAGTTGAGGTGAAGTTCCAGTCTGTCTCACTGATATAAGATAAGAGGGTGGTCAATCAGTGAAATAGATCTTGTATACCTCCTTTGTCTGTTATTTTGTTCCCCTTTGTCTTTTAAATTAGTTTGTAAATGTTGTAGCTTGGTAATTATTCATCTAGTCTATTTTCGAAGTATGCATCTGTCACAGACTATAAACTTTTACTTTTCATCACCTTTCTACTATCTTTTCTTTTTTTACTTGGTTAATATTTAATTTTTAGGAGGCTTTTGAACATTGTATGCTAATTGGGTAATCACATGATTTTGAATGCCACTTGAAATAAAGAAGAACAATATTTAAAAATATTGCTGCTGAAAAGCCCTTTTCAGGGAGCGCAATAAATAAATATGTATGTATGTATGTATGTATCTCGCTGAAAAGTTTACAATCAACAAACAAGTTACGTCAAACAAGCTGGTTATTAGATTGTAGCTTCAGTGCCTTCATGGTATTTTAAACATATTTTTTCATAAAACATACTATGCCATGCATAAGCTCGTGATCGCATGAGAGGTAAAACTCAGCTCTACGTGATCAATTCCAACCCGTGACCCCTGGTCCAAGGGCACTACATTGTAAAAACTTACTATATTTTGAACATTTTTATTTGCAAAAGAATAGTCCTGCCTTCCACCTCTTAAATCTC